ATCTATACCTTGCCACATGGTTCGTGGCTTACCGCCATTTTCACATGCTGCTTGTCATGGCGGCAGCTGGCAGTGACTCCTTCTGCCTTCCTGTTCTTTCTTTTCTCCTCTCTGTTAGTCCTGCCTATACTTCCTGCCTAGCCACTGGCCAATCAGTGTTTTATTTATTGACCAACCAGAGTATTTTGACATACAGACCATCCCACAGCAGAGCTGTATCCACAGCCCAAGAAATTTGGATTTCCTAACTCCTGTTCCAAGCTATGTTGAAAGACTGTAGAAGAAAATGCTAAAGGTTGAATTGGGGAAACTGTAGGCATGGACAAAGATGAACAAAAGATGTAAGCTTATGTTTCGTAGTGATCAAGTAGAAAAACATAAATAATTTTCATTGTTCTCTATGGAATTTTTTCTTAAAGAAAAATTCCTGTTCCATAAAACATCATGAAAAGACAGCTTTGCTAACTCAGAATTAGATTCCCCGTGTGTTTTTATTTGCTCTGCTAGCACAGCAAAGCTTACAGACAACTTAATTGCCTGAGTGCCCAAAGGTTATGGATCAGTCACTTGGGCTGCCACTCATGTCACACTGTAAGCCTGGGAGTAGTCAGAGAAGCTTGTGATCTTTCTTTTCACGAAGGCGAAATGGCTTATTGTTATACTTGGAAGAAAAACCGTGCGAAAAGAAAATGCTATCGTGTGTACTTAGTGAGCAGCATCATTTCTATGTGACAGCAGCACGTTTTCAATAATGAAGCCAGCAGGGAGAAGCTGGAGAGCAGGAAAGATGCTACAGTGGAAGCTCTGCTCAGTAAGCCAGCTCAGCTGTTTGAAGTGGACCCCAAAGTCCACAGGGAGAAAAGAATGGTGTCTTTAAATCCAGTCTGCGACACTTACATGTACTTTAAGGAATAAAAATGTTTGTCAAAGCCACCGACTTCCTCTCATACCTATGCTGTTCTTGCTAGTTGAAATGTCACGGGCAGATTCATGCAAATTCTTCAGGAACTGAGTTTAGGTTTTCAAATTATTGCAATATTCTCTATCATCTATCATTTAAAG